TTAACAAGTGTTTAATGAGGACAGGGACCTGACATACCTAAACCCTAATTTTTGCATAACTTCTTCACAGTGCATTATGGCTGTTGTCATGGGGAAAAAAGACCTTATAGCTCTCCTCAGTTTAAATAGCAAGCAAATGGGGTTTTCTCCCTGTTTAATCATTGCAAGGCTTTCTGCACACATGGATCATTGATAAAATGCTGTAAGGAAGGAGGGAGGGTCATTTTCACCCAATGCTTATCTGGTTATTTTGTATCCATGTTGGGCCAGGACCCCTTCTGCAAAATCTCAGCCCAGAAGCACATTGCAGCAAATGGATCTAACAATGGTATTGCTTTGTTTCAGATGCAGATACAAAACTGAGAATTGGTCAGCATTTAGTTAGGAAATTATAAGGTAAAAGACTCTAGCAGATGATGATACTGCTGGGCTTCCTCAAGAGCTGAGTGACTACACTTATCCACTGATTGCCATCAGTCTGGGAGCTGCTGTTCTACTGCTTTCTCCCCCCTTTCACACATAATCTTGTCTCCATCTTCTGCAGCTGCCTTTCCTACCCAGTCTTGTCCCTCCAATTTCCTACATTTCTACCCAGGTCCCTTCTAGTTTGATCCCTTTCAATTTCTTCTCTTGCTTCCATCCCATTTGAAAAAAAATGGGTGACTCAATGGGTTTCTAGTGATCTCAAACATATTGTGCTCACTTTAAAAATGAAAGATGTTTTCCTAGCAGGGTTACACATTAATTTTGGGCTTCAAGAATCAATCTGGGTGCATCTACATGAGCAATTAAAATGAAGAAATGAACTCCAGTGCAGTTTGTGTTGGAGTCAACTGCTCCTGGACACAGTTTGTACATGCATCTAGGACTGCAGTAGTTTGAACTGGGTGGAGCAGCCCCGGGCTAGTAGCAGGCTCGGGGGGAGGGGCATCAGCCCCAGGCTCTGGGTGGTGTTGTTGGGTGGCAGAGGGGCTGGCTGGGGCATGGCAGTGCTAAAGTGAAGACCTCTGCAGCAAGCAGCACTAGCACTTTAGCACCTGTGTCCTAGCACCTAGCAAACAAAGTCCTGTCACCGTTTACATGTGCATTTCAATGGAGTAAGTAAGTGCACCCTATGATAGTACTGTCCCCAGCAGTACTATCTTATGGCACAGTAAATTTACTGCACCCTAATACCAGCACACTTATAGACAATGCTGCTTTACTGCGGAGCTGATTAGTCAACTCTGCAGTAAAGCATACATGTAGATGCATTCCCTGGGCTCTTTATTTTACTTTGCTTTTCATTATCACTACTAATAATGGATTTGCAGGTCAAATTACACAATGAGCTGTAATCTACATAGCTCATTTAAAACTACAATGCACAGATGCCAAAGAGGACAAAAAGGTTACTTACTCAAAGGTAAAATTAGCTTGTAATTTCTCTTGCAGAATCTCTATTGCTGATAATAGCCAGGGATTTGGGAGAAGCCCAGATTGATGAAGAGCCTCAGCAGAGTTTGTGAGACTGACAAAAGTAACTTCTTTTTGGCTACAAACTGTGAAAACCTGATTTAGAGTAATTAAAAAACTAGTGAATATTGAAAACATCAAGGCTAAATTTGCCAGGCTATTCTTCAAGGCTTCCACTCATTAAGGTTACCACTCACACTTAGTCTACCCATATTTTTGTAGTTTCTACAGGAATCTTTAGTAAAAAGCAAAGGATTTGTGCAATTTGAAGAGAAACCAGAGTATATATACAGTAAGGCAAAGACCTACAGTGCTTGGCAAGCAGGGTGAATGGAATCTGCATGATGATATTCTTATGCAGGTACAATCAACATTCAAAGCTGAGACAGATAATTAAATCAAGCAGCTAACAGTGAAACACAACAGTTATTCACAGTGATTCTTTCTTTATTGCATTAGGTGGTAGCCTAACCCAGAAGCAATTACAGGAAAAATAAAACAGAGTACCCACCAAGGAGATGTTTGAACATTTTGGATCTGTCTCTGGTTCTTTCTATCAGACTGAGAGTGAGTCCTATCCCGTGGTATGGAGAACACATAGTGATTTAATAGACTTAAATGTCAGGCAATGATGCATCACCCAGCAATATGTAATACAGAAATCATAAATCAAAGCCTCCCAGGAACTTGTGAATGTCAGACACTTGAATTCACCAATTTGGTATCCATGGTATCTTGGCATGTCTCACACTCCTGTCTCCTTCCTGAAACAGTTCAACTCTAAAATATTACTCTAAAATATTACTGCCATATCACAGGACACACGTGAAAAACAAAAACATTAAAATGTGTTTCCTGGTGCAAAGAAATATTAAGATGCACTCTCAGGGATTCTGTTCAGACTAAAGATGGAAGCTACTTTTGTTATATTACAGTTAATGAGGCAGGACAAAAGTATTTGTAAAGATCATCTACCTCACTTATACATTTATCATGAAGTCTGTATGTCTACAATGTGAAATAGTATGAAACATTTTCAGTTTTTTAAACATTTCTTGAGGCTGGGCTGTGTTCTCTTGCCTTATCTTTAAGTGCAATTTATTATGACATTTAGAGCCTACTGACTGTTTTCAAGTAAGAATTTAGCAGATAGGATTTTTTTAACTACCTAAATGACCTAGGATTCCTACTCTGCTGAAATAACTCCTACATTACTTAGAAGCTTCTTAAACCCCTACCTACCCTTCACATCCAAACCGCTGCTTTCACAACACATATAGAAACTGCAGTTGCAATTGGGCATTGTTGCAGAAGGAGACGTATCTTCACACTTATTGATTTATACATGCAAATATAGTAGTCTGCATGCACAATATGTACATACTTTTAAAACCACACTACTTGTGTATAAGCTGGGAAGTTTGCTCTCAAAATTTAACTGCACTGAGATATTGGTTACATTTAATGGAAACTTGCAGGCATTTTAAAATTAATTGCAAAGGCCAGCTAGTCCACTAGAGAATGCTGTGGTGGTTGACTTTATACACATCCAAGGCAGACACTTTTCCCCAAGTAACAAAGAAATTTCTCATCTTTGAAAAGCACCTTCGTACCATGGTGACTATCTTAATAGTTCATACAAAGATTGCCTATTCTTCCATCCTCCCACTGACAAGGATGCATTGTGTGAAACTCCCAGTAAAGCCACCAAGAAATGTGTATAATCAGCAGCTCATCTATGGAAGAATAGACCCCCGAGCCTCTTCAGTTAAAGAAGAAAGGTAGATTTTATTTCACACAGAAGTAACTTAAAAAAAAAAAAAGCACATTAAGTTAAAGATGAACTGAAGTCTGAGACAAAGGAGCATGTTGCAAGGCCTTGCCCAGCAGTAAACCTCCTGAGCTTTAGGAAGGCTACTATACCAGTCCATAGTCCACATCCCCCACTAAGTACAATCTTCATATTAATCATCTCACCCTAAATACATTTTAAAACATGCTCTTTGTGAACCTACGGCTTGATAAGATATAAAATCACTGCAAATCTCCCTTTCTCAGGGAATGCCTCGTGTACCACCATCCATGAGTTCTTCCTTGTACCATTTAGTCCCCAGCCTGTTGGTAGGTTAAGTGGTGTCTCCCTCTGCTTTCTTCTGGCTGGAATCTCTACCCAGGCTGGAATTGAATGTATTGCATTACAAGTCCCACAGGTGCTGCCTCAGCCTCAGTAAACTTTATTTAAACACACACAGACATACATGGACAATATACATATATTTGTTTCTTCTCTGACAGTTCTACAGGACTGACACTGCTTTGAATGATGTTTGTGGAGAATTTTTAAAAGTGCAGGAAATGTATGAAAAATAAAGCTCTTTTAATAACTCACAAATGATGGTCATTCACAGAAACAACAACAGATGTGCATTCAATCAGGTGAGCACATGGACACATCTCCACATACAGTACATTGTGTCTATATAAGAGTCTCCACATACATTATATCTATATAAATGTACAATAGTCTCATACATAAGGAGAAAACAAAGTCAGATTAATATTGATATGGCACACACTTGCATTTTCAGCAGTATGACCAGCTCTCAATGAACTAATGTGACTTTGTTAGAATGGAATGTAAATAGAAAGGTGTTTCAAATAGACATTCTCACTGTATACTATAAAAACCCACCAAATATGCAACAATGATATAAAAGGAACATTTAACTTAGTCTTCTGGTGACAAATCACTAAGTGTCAGATCTTGTAATTTTGGGGTCACCATGATTTTGGAGTCCTGGGGTTATGTCTGCTAATCTAATATAGCTACAACTTTCTCTCAACATATATTGTATATACAGTACATATACACAGAACATACACAGTGAAGAATATGTGTACTGTTGTGTTTTCATGATTGTACAGTATTTCACAGATTATATGAACACATAAAACACATGTATTTAGACCCCAAAATTAATCATTTTATAAAATATTTGTAATACCAAAAAAACCCTCTCTCCATCCCCAAAATACCCCCCAAACCCAACAATAACAAAAAAACCCAATAAAAAGCAAAAAACCCAAAACAAAACGAAAAACCAACCCCCCAACCCTCCCCCCAAGAAAAAAAAAACAAACAACCTCCCCCCCACCCAAAATGTCAAACAAAAAAAAATCACTCTTGAAATGGTTCCATTTGCCCCTTTGGTGGCATTATAGACCCTTCTATTTCCATGATAAATATAGCAGCAAGATAGGCAGCTTGCATCCATACACCCAGAACAACACAAGCAATATAAACTGTCAGATTGCTAGTTAAAGTGGAGTCTGTTTTTTCTAAGTTTGCACTCTCCCACTCTGTCCCTCACTAGGGTTTAAAAGCTCTGCCAGTGGTACTATATTTTACTTGCAACAATGTTTTCTAGAATAAATCTACTAACTTTGGTTCAATATCATTATCTCATATTGCTTAGAACCCAGCTTCTGAGTCATAGTGTTTATTTAAAACCTTTTATTTTAGCAAAAAATGGTTTCCACTGTACCCTTCGTGTGTCCTCTTCCTAATGTGACAAATCCAGAGGAGATGAAATTATGGAGGTCTGGCCCTCCACTTCGATAAATATCCTTCCCATAGTGCCCTGCCAAAGAAAAAGACAACAAGCAAGACATTACTCAATATATCCATTACCTCCATTACTGCCAGTTGAATGAACATGAAGGCCCTATCACGTTGCATCTGTAAAAGACGAGTCGAGGATATAAGGGGCAGATTTCAGAGAGCAGGATTGTCTACTCACAATACCAAAGGAGTGACTTGCAAAGGAAATTCCTTTGGCGCTATCACTATGGCATGAAGTGAGCACACTGGAATAACATGCCATAGTAATACACATTTGCTTTGAAATCATAGCATACCTTTAATAGTTAGAAGGACCTGAACATTCCCAGTACCATGCATAGCATTTAAATTAGGACAAACTCAGTTGAGTTTTCACACACTACGTATAATTTTTCGTTGTTGCTGAATTTTATCTTCTATTTATTAAAAAAAAGGCAAAGATGAGATTTGGAGGCAATGGGAGGGAACTGAAGCAACCTGAGTACAGTAGTTTCATTTTCTGTCTACGTCTTCTTGATGTCTTAATGTACCAGTGGAGTCTACATAACTATCCTTTTGAATGTAGCAGGCTCACCTTTCAGAGCTTGGGTTGAGTCCCAGGTTTGAGATCCTCCTGTTTTGATTGGTGGAGCCCATCCACCAATCAAGAGGCAACAGGAGAAATAAAGTCACACCCCTTTCCTGAGGGGAGGGGGAGAAGAGCTCCCTCCAACCTGATTGAAGACTGCAAACTGTCAGGTCTGGAAGACTTCAGGGGTGGAGCCCTGGAGCGTATAAAAGGAGCTGCATGCCCATCATGAGGGAAGATGCAGCGAGAGACTCAAGAAGAGCAGAGCCAGAAAGCTGGGGAGCTCTCCCTCAGCGAGCAATAGGCCCACGGCTCCTGAATCTGCTACTGGAGGAGCAGCCTTGGGAGTGGTACAAGACCTCTCCGGCTGTTGACAGCACACAGGAATGGTGCGCAGAGACCCAATCCTGGGAGTGCTGTGGGACTGTTTGGGCCTATCACAGTGCACAGTTTGGTGCACAGAGCCCAGGCTTTGGGAGCTGCAAGCAGAGGCTTGAGCCTGCAACCCTGGCAGGGCCTTGGGGGCCACAGTGAGGTGGCTCAGGCCCCATCTCCCAGCAAGCAGCCAGGTCCCACGGTACGAAGAGCAGAGCACAAGCCCGAGCCTTGGGAGCCAGGGAGCAGCGGAGGCTGCTTGGGTTAGCCACCCGGCATGAGGACAGCTAGCGAGAGCCTGAAGGGCCCAGCCTGTACTAAGAGAGCCCTCAGTACTGAGCCAGGGCACAGGGTAGTGGTAGTGCTGCAGCGTGAGGCCCAGCACCCAGGAGCCAGCAGCAGTGATGCAGCAGCTGAGAGGAGCTGACAGAGCGGGGCACAGGGTAGAGAGGATCCCAGTGGTGCAGGAGAGGCCTGGAGAGGCGCTCCAGCAGAGGAGACTCCATCGAGCTGCATTGTGACCACCGCCACCTGAGGGAGCGTGAGTCATTGGGCCCTTGGGTCCCACAGGGGAAAGACATTTTCAGTGGGCAAACCCAGAGAAGGGGCTGGGTGAGCAGCCCCCCGCCTAGTCAGAGCCCTAAGGGGAGGGGCCCCTGGTGCTTCCTGGACACCCCCAAGGGATCCCATTAAAAGGAGGACTATCTCTTGCCATGGGTCAGGGACTATATTAAGTAATAGATGTTATTAAGATTGCTTATGTTTGCGCCTTATATTTTGTAATTGAAATGTTGTATTGTGATGTTGTAAATAGTGTTATTTAGGGTTAGACCTTGGTTATTGGTTAGTGTTCTCTGTGTAAATATATATATATATGATATTTAGTTTTATGTTTATGTGTATTATAACTTAATAAATTGTATATAGTTAAGAACTTTGGGCTTGGGATAACTCTATAGAGGAAAGCAGGATCTGTTTGAAATTCTGGCATCCCTCTCACAGCACCCCTTTCTGCCTACCCATATTATTCAATTGAGAATAGGGCACACCCTTGGGTGTACCCAGGTTACATGAATAATGGTGCTTGGAAATGCACAGGTTGTATTAAGGCACACAAGATATTCTCCTGGGCTGGGCTAGAACTCTATTGGGTGACACATGGATATAATTGATAAAAATAAAAAAGCAGCATGTAACCTAGTTTTCTGTGGGTTGGGCCCACATTTGACACATCACTCGGAGATTGCATTTTTTCTTATGCGATTGCCCGACTAGCATAACTTGTCATGCCAATAAAGTTTTATTGAACTACAGTAATAGCTGCATTATCAGGCACTTTACAAGCTGGAATGCTCTATTAACCGCATGCCGTCTTGTAAGGTAAAAGCAAAACCAGAAGTGCCCACCATGGCACTTCCGGGTTCACCAAGCCCCCACGGCCTGGGGCAAAGCAGCCTGTGCTGTCAAGCCCCCACAATAACAGTTCTTTTCCCCTTTCTCTTCTGCCCCCCTCCCTGTCCCTCGCAGCAGATGGGGTGGCGACACGGTGGGAGGTGCGGTGGCACACCAGACGCGGCAGGAGAAGTGGCCTTTCAGGTAACCGGCATACTTTGTTATCCAGCACCCCTGATTCCCCATGGCTGCTGGATAACAAAGCTTTTGCTGTATATGGAAACTGACATGCTCAAGGTTTGCATAGAAATGTATACTGGGCTCTCATTATGCAGTAGTTCCTATCCACTGACCTGGACACTATTACCTGCATTATAGGGTGTTGTTATAGGGTCCCCCCAGCATGTTATTGAATGTACAAGGGTAGCAATACCTTCATGGACCTCTGTGCTGATCCAAAAGATGCCACCTTTCTAACCTATGGAGCTGAGACTCCTAAAAACCCAATACTTGACTCAACTGGAACACAAGCAACTGATCATCTGGGGTTGTGCAGTTCATTGGCTGGAAACCCCAAGTTTTTAGTCCAGGAGTGTATTTCTGATCAATCCTGGTTGTGACTACATGAGACATTTATTGTGGAGTTGCCTAATTATCTCTGTAATAAATGCCTTGGTTTCTACACATGTAGCCTTATTATGCTGCAAGACACTAATAAACTCCGCAGCAGGGTAGTTCTTGCAGTTACAAGTACTAATCTGATGCAGAGTTTTTCATGCACAGCAATGCATGTGTAGATGCTGATGGGGCTGGCTGGGGCACAAAGGTTCTTCAGCGCGGGGTCTGACATCGGACCATCCTCGTTACCCAGTCAGCTGCTAGAGCCTCCACAGCTCATTGAATTGTGTCAGAGCAGCCCTGGGCTGGCAGGCTGACCACCCAGGACTCTGCCAGCTGGGGATGTTCTGACCCAGCTAAACATGCTATGGTCCCAGGCATACGTTGAAACATGGTGCCTGGAAGCAATAAATTATATGCATCAGAGTTTATTGCTGCATGCTCCCTGTGTGTTATATCCCATAGAAGGAGGCAAAGGAGGCCATGGAACAATGACAATTTTATAAGAATGTAAAATAGCATTATCCAAACTATGGTTAATGGCTATTTTAAGTGATCTGAGGATCACACAAGATCTCTCCCTCTTTTCAATTAAAAGTTTGATGATAAAGATTCATGTTGGACTGTGAGACATTTTAAGAGTTGACAGAAGTCTGATGGTCCTAAACATGGATAATCACTGATTTAAAGCAAAGAAAATATGGCTCCTCCTCCCCCAAAAAGAGCTTACTTTTCCAAGATCAAGTGTTCTCTGTCAACTTCTTGAAATACACACAGAAGTCAGTTCTGTAAGTTTAGTATTATTAGCTGTGATATATTTTCCTTACTTTTATGGTGAATGTAAAGCAATGGGAAACTTTTTTTAGCTTAGTATAAGAGGTAACCAACTGATCAAGGCTGAGAATCACTGTTTTAATTTGAAGAAGAATTATTTTGGGGAAGTTTTCCATGGAAGCTTCTGTGGGAAAGAATATAGTTTCTTGCATTTCCCTATTAGTTTGCTCTTCAGAGATTTTTGAACACTGACCCCTGAAAGAAGGGTGGTGTCAGCTCCATTTCTTTTTCAACAGTAGTTTCCTTTTATGTGATTTCTGTGCTGGACTGTGAAAAATATTACTTCCCCCTTCTCTTTCTCTACCTTTTTCTTTAAGTTGCTCCTTCATTCTTTCATTTAGGACAGTTAACTTAATACTACTATACTATCAATTTATGGGCTCTAGAGTCAAACTGTTATAATGCTTATTATTCTATCGGAGACACAGATAGGTAGCTATTTTGTCATATAAGCAGGAAAGAAATGTCAGTGTATGCCATTACATATAACTAAAGGGATGGCTATAGATTTTATACCCCCTTGGAGTAACTTTTTGAGTCAGGGGTCAAGCAATACCCACATATAAAAATCTAAAGATCAACAAGAATATTGAAAGGTTGACAACTGTTGGCTCCCCCTTTGGGTAATCAAAAAGACTTAGATTAAGAGGTTCTAATGGTGACAAAACACTAGAATTTGCACAGAAGTCACATTTCCCCATAAGAGGCATGTTTCATTGCAGTTCAAATAGCAGGATTTTATTTATTTTCAGAGATATATTATAGGATGTTAGGTCTATTTCATATAGTCCTTTTTTCTACTCATTGGTTGTCATTTCTCATGGTTTTCCAATATAAAATTACTGATCTATGAGCTTTCACTTTCATGAGTGCTGAGAGAGCAGCTAGTGGATCAGACATGACTACCATTATTCATCAGACATTTTTATAATTACTACCTGATTGGAGTATTTCAGAGAGAGAGGGGGAGAGAGAGAGAGAGAGAGAGCACACAGCCAGGTTCAGATTACAAACACAGGTCCTGACCGGGAGACCTGTACAGGGAACTGGAGGACTAAGGCTGGTTTGCAGGGTACATCTCCTGGAAATGGGATGGGAACTTAGGTGTAATATGTGTATTTGTGGGACTGACTGTTATCAGCCTTGCATGTATGTTGTGATACTTCATATTGACCTGTACTTGTTCTTCCTATTTGGCCATTTGGCCTGTGACCCAACTCCCCAATACCCCA